GCGGGTGTCTGGCCGGCCACGCTTGTTTCACGCTTGTGTGGCGCGGCGGGCCCAGGGGGCGGCCGGCGCGGGAAGGGCCCCCTAGGGTTTGGGAAGCGGACATTGATTTGGGATCTCGACGGTGATCGGCGAGTTACGCATTCGCGGTGACGATGGGATCTCTCATTTCGTTCCAGTGCGAGATTAGAGATGAGAGAGAGTGGTGAGATGAAACGAGAGTTTTTTTTTAATTTTTAAATTTAATATTTATAGTTTTATATGTGACTTTGTCATCAGCTGTTGGTATGGTTTGGTTAGTTGTTGCCTGAGGACCTGTGTGCGCCGACAATTGCGTTCTTATCGGAAAATTCTTATGTCACTTACGTTGTTCTCTCTGTCTTTGTGTTTGTGTTTGTGAACATATTAAAAGTAAACCAATCCACTAATCCTTGATTACATCATTTGGATTATGGTTTCAATGTCTGAATTTTTTTCATTTGCGTTTTTCACCTTTTATTTAAAAAAATTCTTCATTTTTTTTATGTGTTTATATATTTTTCAATATTGAGGGTTTCAAAATACCTTTTAAAAGGGTCACATATAAAATATGCACAATTTGTAGGACATAAAAATAGACCGAATTAAGCTACATGTGACACGTTACAACGAAATTTTAATTGAGGTGGAAAATTGATTCAATTTTTTTATGCACGTGACAAATTGCAACAATGCATTTCATATGTTATTAGTCTAAATTAGAAATCTTAAGTTGTTACACGTCTCGTTTTAAAGTTTGCAATTACCTTTACAACTTTTTAAAGAACCCTTCAACTATATTTTTAAATAAAAGAACATGATTTTGGCACTCAAAAAATTACTCTCCATACTTGTCCAGCTTTCTTCACACGAGAGGATTGCATAAGGTTGTTTATAGAGTTTTAAAGTCATCGCCCTTGGAAGAACCATCAACAAGCGGTGATTCTGTTTATATGGTCACTCATGATGTTGTGGACTCGCATATCCTATTTAGCTTAATTAATGGTTGTAAAGAGCTTTTTGGTTGAAAATGATTATATCGCCTATCTCAAATTTGAATCTCTACGACATCATAGTTGTGTGTGTGTGTGAAAATTTTCCCTCCCCTTAATTTAGACTATCACTTGTACTAAAACAAAAAAGTTCATATGTCAACGCGAAATGTTCTTTATTAGGTTTTTTTGGTTTTTGAGTCCATACACCTTGTAACAAGAAGAAGAAAAAAAAAAGGTGATTCTTCTCTTATTTTGGTTTTCCTCATGAGCTTCAATGTCTTTTAATAAGCCATGCATTGCACATTAATTTTTAATTAAATAAGGCATCAGTTACTATCAATCATAATTGACAAAACAGTTACCACCAAATACAATTATTTTATGAACTCAACCATCTTTTGTCACTAATTACACAATTTGAGTATTAAAAAAAAATGGTGCAAAACAAAAAAACTGTGAAGTTTCGACAAAAGAAAAAAGAGCAATGTACTTGATGGAAGGCGATACCCAACAATTAGGAAGCTGATACTGATACATCACCAATCTCAAAATTAGCACATAAGTTTATTTGATTGCAGATGTTAATACAAGTCTAGAATGATGGGAGTAAATAATTAAGCAGCTGGTGAAAAAGTGAAAACTGTAAACTGGATATATACAGTGGTAGCAGTAAAACAGTAAACCCAGCTTCTCTGATTTTAAGCCTGAATTACTGGGCTTTACCCAATATCTGGCAATCACGTACTGGGCTTTACCCTGAAGTTCGATAAAAGTTGAGTTGCAGCTTCAACTCCACCAGCGACATGTCGTTCAAATTGTTGCCAAAAATGGACAGCCAAACTACTTCTCTCTGTACATCTTCTTCCCAGTACAGACTGGTTTGGCCAGCAAGAGAGCAACAGAAAATGGGACCCTCTTCCGCAACTCAAGCTCTCACTCTCTTCAGCTCTCTGCCCAAAACCTTAATCTTCAACGCAGAGCCTCGGCCCTCATCTCTGCAACTCTCGAGACCCAAAAGATGGAAACTGATAGTGACGATGAGAGACAGAAGCAATAACCCGAGACCATTGCAGAAAGGGAGACACCTCAGCATCGAAGCCATACAGACCGTACAGGCCTTGAAGAGAGCCAACAAGAACCAGAGCTTTCTTGACCAAGCGTTCGATTCTAAGTTCAGGCGCTTGCTGAAGCTCGACATGATGGCTGTCCTTCGTGACCTCCTCCGCCAAAATGAGTGCTTCTTGGCCCTCAAGGTTTGGTCTTGCAGTCTTACTTCCATTCATTTTTGCTTTCAGTTTGCTTTTCCATGAATTTATCTTCAATATTCAATTGGGTTCTCTCCAATTTGATAAATTTGATGCAAAAAAGCTATCTTTTTGTTTCTGTTTTCAGTTTACACAGAATCCCAATAAATATTTGCTGCTAAATTACATGGATATCTCATTTTGATTGTTACCCTTTTCTTCTTTTGTTTTATTATGAAGATTGATTCAGTTTTCAATTTTTTGTTATTGTCATTGCTCGTTACAGGTCTTTGAAGATATTCGAAAAGAACACTGGTATAGGCCGCAGGTTTCACTTTATGCTGATATGATTAAAGTAATGGCTAGCAATGAATTGTTTGAACAAGTTGAACTTCTTTGCTTGTGCTTGAAAAAAGAAACAAATTTACACCCTGAACTTGAGGCTTTTAATGCTCTATTGACATCATTTATAAGCTTTAACATCCCTAAACTTGCAATGGAGTGCTATTACTTGATGAAAGAGGTGGGATGTGAACCAGATAGGTCATCCTTTAGAATACTCATTAATGGTCTAGAATCCATGGGAGAGACAGGTCTTTCAGGTATTTTGAGGCAGGATGCTCGAAAGTATTATGGTGAATCTCTGGAGTTTCTAGAGGAGAATGAAGAAACGGCAGTCAAGTGAGCCATCGATGACTTGCCGGATTTAGATCATATGATATTGTCTGTAAGGAAGTATGTATGAAACTGATTTCTTTGTCATTTTGACAAAGCATCGTGGTTACTTTTCGGTAGAATAGAATGATACACCCTTAGACATAACCACTCTAAACTCTATTTTTCTTACATACCCATTTAACTCTCAAGTCTATTATCACTGAAAGCTGTGTTTGACTGCTCGGTTTTATGATCTGTATAATGGATTGTCCGGCATTATCATTTCTTATTGTGCACACGAGAAGTGGTGCGATTGGTTTAGTTGCTGATGTTTACATGTTAAAGCGAGTACTTCCTCAACTCGAGCAAGAAAACCTCTTTCAGTGTGTTGCATCACACTTGTTTGAATGCGTATGCCGGACAGTTAGCCAAATGGAAGAGAATTTGCTATGATAACAGCAGCAGAGTACAAGTGACCAAACAAACAAAATCAAAGGAAGCTGCACAACACCCAAACACAATCTGGAAATCCTTCAAGTGTATCGAAGACCGTGGCTGAGGTGGGCAGAAGTGCCAGATATCACAAACTTGTCTTACTAACTTCTCTAACAGAAAATGGGACTTTTGTAGGCTGATTACCAGTCTGTAAAGTGTTTGCATTATGTAACTGACTCTAGCTTCGCCATATAAGGATGAGTCACCAATGTAATTCAGTGTATAAACACAAACTTCAATGAAAAATCCTTCTCTCTGAATGTTTTCTCTAAGATTTTCTCAGCCTTTCTCATATTTTCTTTCATTTTACTGCTCATTTTCCTTTTCTTTCTGAATGATCTTCATTTTCACATGTGTATCATCTGTTTCTCCAAAGACAAAAAAACACATAAAGCAAATATAGCCATTAAAGTCAGAATACAACGAAGGATGCAGGGGCATAACTTTAATTTTAAATAATTACATGTTCCATCAAATACTAAATTTTCTAATCATCATATCATTAAGAAACAAAACTGGGACCTCGTATTCCCCTTTTTTCAACTTTCTTCTACAATTTTCTCTCTTCTTTTTGACCACAACCTAAACTTTGTAGGATAGCGGAAAAATTGGAGTGATACAAGGACACATGACCATGAGTAAATGTTCAAGTTCTGTTTAAATCTTCAAAACTGATGAGATCAGGACTCAGAGGTTCCAATCAGACAGCCACATTTCAGAAATGATAATCTGATAGCCAGAGCATTTCAGGTTCAAACTTACATGCTTCCCATGCTAGAACTGTTTCCCTTCAAATGTCTGACCAAACTGCCAGTTTGCTGGAGCAACATTATAAGATGTGAGTGTTCTTCCACTACTGATGGTTACCTCAAAGGAAAGAGGCTGCCCTTTAAGATTGACATTGCTTTGCCAGTTCTGTCCCCAGTTCCTGGCCATCGGTATCCAACCGGTTCTCGAACCCTTCACCTTGACAGCAAGTATTTCCCCATCTGAACCTACATTTGTAATCAAGACTTGGTAGAAGTGAGAACTTCCACTCATCATGAATCTCAGCCCCCCACTTCTCTCACACTTCACCCTGCACAAGAAAAAAAAAATCCCAGAGAGATCTTTGCTTAGTGCAAGATATCAAAACAGAACAAAGGAAAAAAAAAATTCAAACCAGATTTTTCTATTACCTCCTATACTGAACTGGCACAATATCAGCTTTTCTCCTTGCAATTTCAGCGAATGCTGCCTCTGACATCTCAAAGTGTTCTTTAGGGAAATTGCACCAGCCGCCATAATCTTTTGAAAGCCCATAATTTGGAGGGCAGAAATCTGTAGCAGTGAGGGTAACAGAGGGGCTCCCTTGCAGGCACCACAAGATGTGGTCAACACATCTTAGCTCATAACAAGCCCCACATGTACTCCCTTTGTTGAATAAAATGCCACTCAGCCCAGCACTGTGTTTCCCATAGCTGATCTTGTGAAGGTCCCCATAACCACAAGCACCTTCTGCAACATAAACAAACAAAAAAACAAAAAAAGACCTTGAAAAACTGTAAAATATGGAGCAGCATTATGTTTATGCAGTCAAAAAACTTGAAAAGTTTGCAACTTTTTTGCACCAGAAGCAAGAAGAGTACCAGTAATAATAGACCCATCTGTTTCTTTGGAATATGTTGCAGTAGCAGTCTTCCATTCTTCATCTTGGGAAACAGCAATGTTGCTGCACCTGCATATATGCAAAAGAACCAAGTAGAGAACCAAGTAGAGAAGTGTAGCTTGAAGGGTTCCTCCCATTTGAGATGATGAGGCCTATCTATGAGAAATGTGGTTTGTACTTGAAATGAGTTCCTTTTTCTTTTTATCCTTTTGATGCAAACTGGGTTGAAGAAGGGTGAAGAAAGCTCTCCTTTTTCTGTGCCTAAATTACCTCAATCTCCTTGCTGAGATGAAGCAAGGCTTGTTGTGGTTAATTGCTGGACTAGAAACAAAGAAACTCTATGAGAAAAGATTGAACATTTTGACAAATAGCCTACAATGGTGTCCAGAGTTCACATTGGGGGCACATTCTGCGAGGCCAAGATGAAGGGTGTATTGGTCTTTAGGCCTTGGACCCTATACACCATGGAAAAGATGGAAGCTTTAATTTCCTTTCTTTCTTTTTAGCGGGGAATGGAGACTCAAAAAGGGGCTTTGGCGCCTGCATTTGGCTTCATTCAAGATGGAGGGGATTTGAGGCTCTGTATTGATGGCAGACAGAGATACGGAAAGCCTTGAAATAAATAATTAAAAAGAAATAAAAACTAATTCCAAGGATCATTTAAACTTATTTTCTAGTTGAGATGAAATGGTCTATCGGACCAAGATTCTTGCAAAAATATATATTTTATGAGTCATGGATAATATATGATATCTCACTGTGTATTTTTTTATAAATATAAGATATAGTCTAAATTACAACAGAAATGAGGTTTCTCACACACGTATTATCAAAATGTCTTAAGAATTCGAACCTAAAACCACTAATCTGCAATCAAGTCTTTTTTTCCACTCAGTTGGCGCTATCTCACTGTTAATGCCAATGGTTTGTATTTGAGCACTTTTGTTGTCTATGCACAAATTAGTTTTAGAATGAAATTGTGTTTATTTATTTATTTTGGCACATCTTTTGAGAAGGGAGACCACAGTAAACAAGAGATATTGATACCCAACAAATAAAATGGGCTGAAGTGCCTGCATCCTCGTATGCTAAGCCAGTTACTGCCAAAGCCCAACTCTTCTGCTTAAACACCAAGGAACCAAAAATTAGCTCTAGTCCAGAGAATTTTTGGATGTCCAAGGTCCATAAAATTACTCACACTAAAATGTGAAATGGCCCACACACACGCAAAAGGAGTTTATAATTGAAGTGGACATTCCCTTCACGAGATGGTTGAAGTTAGACTCTTCCTCAAACTTGGTTGCGGAAAGAAGTATCACCTGATCAAGAGCTAGTTGATTTGAACATCCTTTAAACTAAAATTTGGTGAGCACGCATTCGCACTCACGCACACATGAAAGAAAGATTGGATGGGGAAAGCAAAATTTTGGGTTTATAAAATGAAGATAATTGTGTGAGGTTTTTGTTGCTTATATTCTTCCAAGTTACAACCTTGATGAGTATCACTCTCATACTATGATATCTTTCAAAGGAACAATGCAGCTGGCAGGGGTATTGCTTCCCTTATCCCGAATAAGGATCGAATTGTGACCGCCGCCGCTGCCGCCGTTATTGGCATTGTTGCTGATGCTCTTACTAGCAGGGTGATAAAGATTGAATGTAGCTTGATCCAGTGTTCCTTCTCTGTAAACAAACACACTGTCATCTTCTTCCATTTTCCGCCACTTTCGGTTTCTGTCACTAATTCGACTGAGATCATGGAGCGGCATACCTCTGCATTGTATAAGGCACAAAGAAAGTAGAATCAAACGGTCATTATTACGTTAAAATCCATCCAAATCCACAATGGAAATCTAATATTCTGCAGATTAAAGGAAAACATATAATATATTATCTTACATTTTATGCCAGTAAAGTCTGTAAAGATGCATCAACAAAGCTGATGGATACATCATATACAGACTTCGTGAAGACTAATTAAATTTGCAATCTGCGTGGCATTTTGCAGTTTATTTCTGACCTTTATTAAACTATTCAATTATAAATTACTTTTCTACCCTATTTTCCAGAAATCTCAGTAGATGCCAAGCACAGATGGTTCAAACTTCACGCTAAAGAAAGAAAAAAAACCAACAGACAAACAAAAAAGAGATTATTAACAGTATTATATTTTCTTTCAATGTGGGTTGGGTAGGGCGTCATATCACTTTGAAACACGAGCATCCAATTAATTAGGTCAATATGATAATTAATCAATAATTTTGTGTGTGAATAATATCGACTAAACATGCGTTGTATCATCTCCCTCTTATTTACGTAAGTCTCGTCTCTATTGAAAAGATGATACAATACATGATTAGTTGAGAGAGATAGTGCAACCTAGTTGCACCCTAATAACATTAATTGGATCAATCTGATTATTTGAATTAAAGACTGCAGTTGTGTATGTATGTCAACAGTTCATATACAATTTGAAAGTTACATTAATTACATATTCTTCCTCTATTTTTAGAGGGACTTGGTCCCAGAATAAATATAATATATGTCAAAAGTCAAATCATAACTAGCAGCATGGCAAAACGTATCATCGCACAGTGCACAAAAACATAAACAAACCCAGCAAAAAATCGAAAGCCAAGTACCACAGCGGAAAACAAGGCAAAAATAAAATAAAATACACAAAAATCGGGAACAGTAAACAAAGAAACCGTACCTTACATGGAAGAGATCGGAAATGTCACACATCTCGAGGTAAAAGTTAACGGCGTCAATAAAAGCCCGGTACGTGTAAATATGAAGCCCGTCGATTCTCGGGTACGGCAGCCTCGGCCTCGGGAACGGCGGGGTCCCCCCCCGGGCCCCCCCTGTTCCGCCGCCGGCCGCGGGGGGGGGGGGCGATGATGGGCTCGAGCTCGTCGTGGGTCATAATGGGCTTGAACGTCCGCGTGTACCAGAGCGCCAGCTTCCTCGTACAGCCTCTCATGTAGTCTTCCATTGTTGTTGCTACGTCGTGTGTTTAACGTTTGATTTTCAGGTTTTTGTCTTTGTCTCTGTGTTTTTTTTCTTCTTTTCGGTTTTGGGAAAAAAAATCGGAAAAAAAATAGGGAGAGTGAGGAGGAAGAAGAAAGAGCTTGAGTGTAGGGATTTGGGGGAAGGGAAATGGGTGGAGATTTTGGAGGGGGTTTTGGGGAGAGGTTTTGAAAGGGGGTTAGTGGCTTGCCATCCAAGTTGGTGGAAATTACGAGAATGACCGACTCGGCAGAGTCAGCTGAGCAGCACTCAGATTTCGAAGCGGTGCGGTGGTCTCTTGTAGCGGAAGATAGAGCTAAGCGAGATCATATGGTAATTGAATTTTTTATTGATTCATTTTTTTAATGAATTTTAATGCATTCATGAATATGATAAGCTTTAAAGATGGGTGTGTGTGAAGTGGATCAACTTTTTTCAACTTTTGGGGGATTTTGTGACATCATAGATGTCTTATTATGGTAAACTTTTGAAGAGTCCTTGATTTTGGGATGGATATGTACGTGGAAATTAGGTTTTTCTTTTTTTTCTTTTTTTTCTTTTTTTTTGGCTAAGGAATAATGGGAAAGTACACTAACTAGGTGACTCTATATGAAATGAAGGAGAATTAATCCCAAATGATTTATAACAATCTAAATTTTGAATTTGAAATAGGTAAAATACATGTGTCAATTAAATTTGTTGACCAATGAAGTCGTGTTAGTTGGATTGACCCAGGCCTTTGGTGTGCTTCTAAGTTGTCATAAATTCAAGCCCTCATGGTATTCGTATGTAATAACGCTTGTTGACACATGCAATTCAATATCTCACAAGAAAATAACTACCAAAACAATGTTATTATCTTTATGAAAGAAATGTGATAAATTGCATCATAATTCAGCACTAAAATCTTTCTTTACCAACTAAAATCTAAAATCAAATTCACACAAACTGAAAAATAATTGTTATTAAACTTACTCTCTTTTATTTTTGTTTTTAAAATCCTTTATTTCAACACACTTTCATAAAATTTTAGTATACAAACTTAGGTTGACACACCATGCAAATATAAAAAAGTTAATTTTTTTATAGTTTTGGACCTATGTTTTTTGGTCATATATAAATTTTGGATAAACTACATAAAATCCCCCGAATTATAAGGTTATTTTCAAGTTCATACTCAAATTTAGAGACATTTACAAGTATATAATTAAACTTTCGAAACCTTACAATTTATCTCATCCTTTACACAAATCGTTAATGAATCTGATAAATGCTGATGTAGTATTTGTTTTCATGTATTGGCCGGTTGGCCCCCGCCAATAGCTTCCCACGCAACCAGCCAAAAGTCAACAAACATTTCGTTTCCTCTTAGAATTCCTTGTGTCTCAAAAACTCACTCACTCAGCCACTGAAACACAAACAGCCAAAAAATGGAGCTGAGTTTTCATCTCTGCATAATCTCTCTGCTCTTGCTCTCATCAAAATCAGCAGCAAAAGAATCAGAGATAATCTCGAGGTTCCAGCGCTACCTTCAGATCAACACGGCGCAGCCTAAGCCCCTGTATCGCGAAGCAGCAGATTTCATCCTATCCGAGGCCGCTTCCCTCTCCCTCGAGTCGCAGACTCTCGAGTTCGTCCCTGGCAAGCCTCTCGTCCTCCTCAAATGGCCCGGCTCCGATCCTTCTCTCTCCTCCGTCCTTCTCAACTCTCACACCGACGTCGTTCCGGCCGAGCACGACAAGTGGACACACCCCCCTTTCTCGGCCCACCTGGATTCGAACGGCGACATTTACGCCAGGGGGTCTCAGGACATGAAGTGCGTTGGGATTCAGTATCTGGAGGCTATTAGGCGGCTCAAGGCTTCTGGGTTTGAGCCCAAAAGGTCTGTTTACTTGTCGTTTGTCCCTGATGAGGAGATTGGGGGTCACGCTGGTGCTGAGACGTTTGCTGAATCTGATGTTTTCAAGGGCTTGAATGTGGGCATTGTTCTTGATGAAGGTGAGCTGATCAGAGCTTCTGCTTCTAGTCGTAAAGAATTATGCTTTTGAAGTCACTGTTACTAAAATAAGTGTTTTTATAAGTTTTTGTTATTGGTTTGCTTATTGTATGATTTGGGTAACTTGGTATGCTGGTGCTTTTTGAGTAATTTGTTATGGTTTGTTTTTTTTGCTTGTGATTTTCAAGTATTTGTTATGGTTTGCTATTTGCTTGTGATTTTGTCATTTGGGTAGCTGGGTCTGCTAGTGATTTTTCAAGTATCTGTTATTGGTTTGGTACTTGCTTGTGATTTTGTCATTTGGGTAAGCTGGGTCTACTAGTGGTTTTGAAGTATTTGATTTTAGTATGGTATTCTATCATTTCTGTATAATTTGGGTAATTGGCTCCACTTGTGAATTTCAAGTATCTGCTTGCTAGTGCTTTGCTGTTTTCTAATGACTGTGTTGTTTGGGTAATTGGGTGTTTTCTAAAAACAGGGTTGGCCTCGCCGACTGAGAATTACAGGACGTTCTATGCGGAGAGGTGTCCCATGTGGCTGGTCATCAAGGCTACTGGGGCTCCTGGTCATGGGGCCAAGCTCTATGACAACACTGCCATGGAGAATCTCTTGAAAAGCATTGAGAGTGTGAGGCGGTTCCGAGCTTCGCAGTTTGACTTGGTGAAGGCAGGTTTGAAGGCTGAAGGAGAGGTCGTCTCAGTCAATATGGTGTTTTTGAAGGCTGGCACTCCGACTCCGACTGTAAGTTCACTCGCTCTGGTGCTCTTTTTTCTTCTTCTTTTTTCATGATGTGATGTTATTGGCGATTGGAGTTGTTAGTGCAATAGAATTTGTTTTTTTTTACTCGGATCAAATTAAGTTTGAGAACTTAAACTTATACAGAGTAAATAATAATCTTGTTTAGTGGGAGGTGTTACATTATCACCTCAGATATAAGACTGTTGAAAAAAAATCATATGCCTCGCTTGATTTGGAAAGTGCTGAGAAACATTCTTGCTAAAGTTGGCAATGAAATTATCTTCTGCAGTATAACTTGGGATCATATCGGGACCTATTCTTTTCCTCCTTAATCCAGTCATTGTCCTAAAATGTCTTATGATAAATGCTCTCCCTTTTTCTCTGCCAGGGTTTTGTCATGAATTTGCAGCCATCTGAAGCAGAAGCAGGCTTTGATATTAGGGTCCCACCAACTGCTGATCAGGAGTCCTTGGAGAGACGGATAGCTGAAGAATGGGCCCCTTCTTCACGGAACATGACATTTATGGTAATTAGTATATTGATTTTATCTTATGAAGTATAAGATTATTGAATACTTGAGAAAATAAAAGTATTTCTTAAGTAATACGTGGTAAGTCAGAATGAAAAACACTTCAAATCAGTACTATTTCTATTGAAGTTTAAATACATTAACAAATAGACGGTACTAAGAAACCAATATAAGGGTACATCCATGGTTGCAGTGCACTAAAATCTAAAACCGACTGAAGAAAGCTATGTTGTGAAAAGATAAGTGATTCATAGCCTCCCATCCTTGATCAGATAATGCATAGAGTTTTCCTCCTTCCCTACAAATGTATAAATGCACCGGTGCTGTTGTTCATTGCCAGTATTTGTCATCAATGGTTGTTGCCTAGTATTTTCTGGTTTTTGAACCGTTTCCTATTAAATTTGCCCTAAGCTCAGGTGCATTGCATCTGTGGGAAGTACAATTAACGAAGACCTATTATTTCAAGTTTTGAAAGCTTGTGCATTTTCACGCATATGATGAAAAATGAATAGTGAAAATACATGCCAGTTTCTTTACTTATCTTTGTAGCGTGGGCAGTTCAAGCAGAAGGTTTCTGTGCTTGACGACTCAGGGAGGCCAGTCCTTACGGCAACTGACAGTTCAAACCCCTGGTGGGGCCTTCTAGAAGAAGCTGTCAAAAAAGCTAACGGAAAACTTGGTAAGCCAGAGATTTTCCCTGCTTCAACAGACTCTCGCTACTTCCGGCAACTGGGTTTGCCAGCAATTGGATTCTCTCCTATGGCTAACACTCCTATTCTCCTTCACGACCACAACGAGGTGAATGGCCAAGTTGATATTTTGATTCTTCTGTTTGCATTTGCATCCTTGGTGTCCATGAATTTAATCTTTCTGTTGTTTCAATTTATAAGCTAGAGTGAAATTGCGTAATATGACCATGCTATTTTTCTTTTTCACCTTGCAGTTTCTAAACAAAGACGAATACTTGAAAGGAATCGAGATTTATGAATCAATTATCAAGGCTTATGCATCTTATGTTGATCATGGAAGAAGCGCAGGGTCCAGAGATGAGTTGTAATTCTGGAACAGCGGCTTGTCTCGTTCCTTTTTTCTCAAGAGAGGTGCCTTGTGTTTTTGCATTGTTGTAATATAATGGGAGATGAGAAATGCCCCGGTACCGTCTGTATAATGTAACAATAAGGCGGAAGCAAGCATGAGCTTAACCAAACAACGCACAGGATTTTATTTTATTTTCATAGATATAAACATGGTTTTAGGGAGATATATTGGTTAATCCCTCATGGTATTCCATTTTTTTTTTCTCCGATAATTTGTCATTTCATCTAAAAAGGAAAAGAAAAGAAAAATTATACCAATTTGGTTACTTGGATGTTCCTAACCCAATTCAATGATATCCGTTCTTTCTCCATGAATTATTTTTGATTTCATTATATGGTCTTCAAATTAAGATAATTGTTATTCATCGTCTCAAGGTGGTGTTGGTATGAAATCCAGTAGCAAAATAAAATGAATAAGAACAGAAGAACGGAAGAATTAAAATGAAAAACATAAGAGAAGAAAGAAGGATCGAAGAAGATGAAGAACACAAGAGAAGAACAAGAACGGAAGAATAAAAAGGAAGAACAGAAGAGAAGAAGAATGGAAGAACAGAAGAAAATGAAACACATAAAGAATTCACCCAGAATTTAAGATATATGCAAAATGTCATGAGGATGGTGATGGCGACGACGTAGAGGACATTTGTATGAGGGACATGATAACTGACATGCCATTAGAATGATTGTGGCTTGTGCTTATCTCGTGTATTTGATACTTAATAACCAGTGACTAGTAATTGATGGTTTGAGTTAATACGTTGTTGTGTATAGGTTTTATGTTGCGATGATCTTATTATATTATCCCAAAATGAATATTGGATGTAGTAAAATATTGGAGGAAACTAATTCGTTTTTACAATGGTATTATCCATATTACGTCATATGGATAACTATTTGGAGGATGCAGTAGAAATATAACATAAGGTTATTAACAAAGTTGAAGTTTTTATGCATTAAATGATTTGGAGGGTGTGATATAACACATGCCTATTCGTGTAGATGCGGAGATAAGAACGACAACTTCAATTTGATAAATTATCCGTTTTAATTGTTTTATAAAATTGTTTAATAAGAGATAGGGAAATATATAGAGTTCCATGGAGGATAGATAAAGCTTCGTCAAGAGCCCTTGTTTTCAATGGCGGAGCTAGAGTTTAAATATTAGCGGGGCTAATAGCTGAAAAATATGTGAAATTACATATTGATTTCTAAGTTTTATGTAAAAACTTCAATGGAATTTATGAAAATGGGGGGGGGGGGCCACTGCCACCTCTGGCCTGTGTGTGGCTCCATCCCTGCTTGTTTTTCCTTTGCCATGGGTATGGCATGGGTTTCATGAGAGACATATCTCCTTCTTTCTTGCACTACACTCACTGCCATGTTCCCGTGACAAATTTCAAATGGACTATTGTCGAATTTTGTATTGAATCATTATTCTACCACTACAATGAAGGATTTGTATTCATTGCCATCTTTTATATCGGGAAGTGTTGAAAAAGCAACAATCAGTGACTATTTAAAATAATTATATATTAACAATATATATATATATATATATATGAATCAACAAAATAGATACAAACTGTAATACATAATACAATAAACAACAACAAATGAAACTAACTTGGATTCGAGATAGAGGCTTGTAGATTTCTCACAAAAAAATTATTAATTCGAAACTAAGAAAATTAATTTAAATCTGAAAGTGCCCAAGAGGCCAAGGTCCATCTTTTTGACAATTAAATATTATATACTATTTTTATAATATTCAATGCCCAAATTGATTTTGAAGCCCCAGTAGCTTCCACTTGGCCCAACTTCCATTTAATAAGTGTGGGACTTCCATACTTATAAAGACTTCACTCTTTCTTTTTTCTACCATTGTGGGATAAATGTAGAGGATGGCGATGATGTAGAGCAGATTTGTATGAGGGATATTATAACTGACATGCCATTAGAATGATTGTGCCTTGTGCTTATCTCGTCTAATTGATATTATAAAACTAGGAACTACCAATTGCTGGTTTGAGCTAATGCGTTCTTGTGTATAGGTTTTATGTTCCCATCATCTTATTATATTATCTCAAACCAATTTTTTTTTAAAGTCGAATATCTCAAAACAATTATGGGATGTAGTAAAATATTGAAGGAAACTAATTCGTTTCTATATATAGAATGATTTGGGAGAAGAGTATGAGGAGACTAATAGGATAAAGAAAATAGAGATATCATCATACTAAGACAGGATACAAAAAATCCTTTACCAGAATAAATTGTAGTCTTCAATGTCTTTCCCGCTCAAGAGGAGCCTCTTCATCTTCTCTTCAAACATGGGATACAAAATTCTCAAATATGCTTGTGGGGCTGATAAGAATCCGCCGTGGTTATAGAAACATTGTTCATCCACAAATCACTCAACACACCCATAACTGTTTTCCAGCAGAGGACCATCATTGAGATTATCACACAGATCATCACACAGTTACTCAATGATTTGAATATCTAGTCAGAGAAAAGTGTAGCAGAAAAGATTCTATTTTTGTCCCAGAATAATTTCATCAAATTGTACTATTCACTGAAGTCATAGACAAAAAAACATTTTCAAATTCTTTCCCTCTTCTTTCTTACTATTTATTAGGAGCCAAATTCTTATAAAATCCTAAGCCAATTCTTATTCATTTAAGATTATAAACAAATAATTCATTAAAATTAACAAAAATTATTCTTTCTACATAATTATTGAAGGAATACTAATCAATTTCACATTTTTCGCACAAGCCACTAACACATATTTCTTCAAATTCACAACGAGAAAATGTGCCATCTTCTTCTTTTTCTTCTTTTCCTTATTCTTTTTTCTCTCAAAATAAATCTTATTGATACTATCATTCTCTGGTGTATGACTTTGAGTTATATGTAGATCCACGCATCTACCTGAATACTATCTTGAAGCCAGAAAAATGCACATAGAAAAAAGTTTAGAGCTTTATTTTCATCTTAAATGAGTATCTATTCTCCTCAGGCATGCAAAAACTTCCGGCTTATGAACCTCATCATCATCTTCTTCTACCAATAATCCCCACAAGAGCATACCCCATCTTGAAAATGATGGTACCGGATGGGATCTCTTATCACAATAACCCTCTCCTCCATCTTTGCAACAAGTTTTGCAAATATATGACAGTCTCCACAGATCCTCAGGTTTTTCCTTATCCTAACAGTCCTCCCCTTTGACAAGCTCATTATACCAAAGACAATTGCCAATTTCTCGCTGTGGGATAGAAGCGAAACTTCCCTCTGTTCTCCCTCAAGATCTTGCAAAACAAAATTCGTGTCTGGAACGTATCCCATTCCCATTAGTCTATCAACCAACAGGCTCAGCTGTCTATTGATCTCATCTATTTGTGGATGTGAGTCATCTCCCATAATAAAAGCATGAATCTGTTTGTCCACTTCAATCCAACTGCACCCTGGTTCTTTAGTAACTCCTCTAGCTCTCATGCTCTTCCTAACTTCTGCAACATCTTCCCATCTCTGAGAATTGGCATATATGTTGGACAATAGTATGTAGGTTCCGGCATCATCAGGGTCCATTTTAAGAATTTTCTTGGCAGCATATGCAGCTAAATCCACGTTGCGGTGAACCCTGCATGCACCGAGCAAAGTCCTCCATGTCACTGCATCTGGTTCACATTCCATTTCTTGAATTAACCTTGCTGCCTCATCTACCTTCCCAGCCCTTCCAAGAAGATCAATTACACAACCATAGTGCTCTCTTCCTGGATCAATCCCGAAAAGCTGCTTCATATTCTGGAAGTAGTACCACCCATCTTCTAAAAGGCCAGCATGACTACAAGCAAATAGAACCCCAAGAATTGTGATGTAGTTTGGCTTCGTCCCCGAAACTTTCATCTGCTCAAACAATCTCAGTGCCTCTTGGCTGAAACCATTTTGTGCTAACCCTGCAATCATGGTGCTCCAAGAGATTACATCCTTCTCCACCATCCTGGTAAAAACAGAGTTTGCATCTTCCAAGCTCCCACATTTACAATACATATCAAGAAGGGCATTGTTCAGAATTAGATCTTGACCATACTTTACTGCATGAACATGAACTTGTCTGCCCAATTCTAAAAGCGCTAACACCGTGCAAGCTCTCAGAACACTCGTTAATGTGGCCTCTTCAGCTGCAAAACCAGCCCCCTTCATCCTCTTGAAAAGGTTCAGAGCCTCATCACCATCGCTGTTCTGAGCAAAAGCTCCAATGATAGAGTTCCAAACAACCAAATCTCCAGTCACCATCTCATTGAAAATGCCTAGTGCATTATGCAACTCACCCAATTTCGAGTAAACGTCAATGAGAGCACTCCGAACAAAAACGTCAGATTCTAACCCTACTTTAATAATACTACAATGAAGCTGCTTGAGATACCATAACCCGTCGCAAGCTCTCAAAACCGATGAGTAGGTGAAGCTATTAGGCATCGCATCTTCTCTAAGCATCAAAACCAAAGACTCCAAGGCCTTGTGGTTTAGCTTGGCATTAGAGTAAGCCGATATCATCGTCGTCCAGGAAACAACGTTTCTCTCAGGCATTTCGTCGAACAACGACTGTGCTTCCTCCAGGAGACCAAATTTCACGTACATGTTGATGAATATGTTAGTTAAAAAGGTCTTGGGCCGGTACCCATTTGAGAAAACGTGCTTGTGGACAAGCTTGCCCTGTTGAACAGCTCGACGAGCCAAGCAGCACTTGACGAGCTCCGAGTAGACGAGGGAGTCGGCCCAAAGTCCACGCCTTTGCATGGCTTCCATAGCTGTCATTGCTCTGGGTAGGTCTCTCTGGTAGCAAAACTTTGTGAACTCATCAACCAGAGTGGACGGCGGTGGTTCTGCCACGCTAGCCATGTGAGAGCAAGAACGTGACAGTGAAAATGGGGGCCATGCTTTGCATTTCAACTTGGAGATGGGGATGGCTCTCATTTTTGAGAAGAACGGAGTGAGAGGGAAGGCGCATTGCTAATTGGCATTTGCCGGGTAAATGTGTTCTTTTGGGTAGTGGATCAACCAATATTAACTAAATGACTCAAACACACACCAAGCCTATTACAATAGAAACGCAGCGTTTCGGCCATTTTAAAAGATACGCACCGTTTAAGCTGCGAGGAGAGACAGTGTGAAAGAGTCCTCGTAGTCATAACCAAAATAGAGAGACGTGTCAGCAACGCAAAAGAAGAAGTTCCAAATCCGTTTGTCGTCTTCTTCGCCAATCGCCGCCCCCAGCCGGACCGGCAGCAACCGTGTCGATGACTCAGTGAGCGCGTTAGGGTTTAGAAATCGGATTCGAGCGTTTCTGAGATTGGAGATGTCTCTGAGAATCAAAATTGTGGTGGACAAGTTCGTCCAGGAGCTCAAGGAAGCTTTGGATGCCGATATCCAAGACAGAATCATGAAGGAGAGAGAGATGCAGAGCTACATCGAAGAGCGCGAACGCGAAGTCGCCGAGCGCGAAGCTGCTTGGAAAGCCGAGCTCTCTCGCCGCGAGGTTCTTTTTTCTACCACTTATTCGATTAAGTTCTTTAATTTTTTTCATTCAGACTTTCTGCCAAACACCTCTAGTGCAATCCTATTTTCTGGTTTGAATTTAATTTTTTCATCATGGGTATCTCTGTTTTGTTTGTTTAGATTATCAATTTTGTTTCTTTTTTGTTTGATTTAAGAACCCAATTGGATTTCAATTTCTTGTTGTTGCAGAGATGCAGAGGCACCAAATTTGAAGTTCAAATTGGTGTTACTTTGCGTAGTTAAGCAATGATAAATATGCCCAATTGTCTACAGTTATGAATTCGTTTTATTGTTGGATGCAACCTTACCAAGTTCACATCAAGCTCAGTTCTTTTCACTCTTCATGACCAAGTTGCTTTTTAACAATGCCCAGCCAGCAACTTCTCTTGTTAATATCTGAATTAAATGCTATGTGGGTGTTAAAAATATCAATAGAAGCTAGATGCAGTTTTCTCAGGACCATAAGTTTTTCTCTGCTTAGCTGCGTAGCTTGTTGTGTGTTTATTACTAGTCTAGACTCCTTCATAGGAAATTCAGAAGAGCTGCGTAGCCTGTAATCATGTTTATTTTTGAAAATATTTGCTTGCAATTGCTAATTTATCAAACATTTAAGTTCCGTTGGAGGTGCTGATGCACTTCTGTTTTCTGTTTTAGCTTCATGAACATTGTTCTGTTTCAGGCAGAGATTGCCAGGCAAGAAGCAAGGCTGAAAATAGAGAAGGAAAACCTTGAGAAAGAGAAAAGCGTTCTAATGGGAACTGCTTCGAATCAAGATAACCAGGATGGAGCTCTTGAAATCACCGTAAGCGGTGAAAAATACCGGTGTCTCAGGTTTGCGAAGGCAAAGAAATGAGCCATTAGAAAAAGGAAGGCTGAAGAAAGAAGCCAACAAATGCCCCAAGTCTTGTGATTTCATATCATTCAATACAAATGTGGTTCTTTCTGCGAAAATGGATTAAGCAATATTGAGAGTTGAGTTTCGTATCTAAGCAATATTGTACATTAGTGATTCCTTTTTTTAAAGAGTCAAACTTCTCCTTGCGTTGCGGATGGGTCAGCCAAGTGTTAAAAGTCTTAGCACATCATTTTTAAAACTGAAATGTGTTAAAATCTTAGCACATCATTTTTAAAACTGAAATCCGACCATCTTCATTTGGTCCATGAATATCTAAGAGTTGAATACTATAATTTGATGGATTTTTAAAGCATCTGAGGATGTAGACGAAAGCTGTTCTTTTAAAATTAGTTTGGAAACGAAAGAACCCTTTTGAATTAGACTACTACTGAACGTGATAGGAAATTTTGGTGGAGTTTTAGCGAAAAATCCAAAAGAGTTCAATTGCAGAGACTGAAATTTAACCTAATATTCAATTACATTCCACTATAAAAATTGAAAGTAGTTCTCGAGTATGTCTTTATAGGAGATCTGTGTAGCGTTGAAGCTTCCCATCTCTAAATTTATTATACTTCTTTGATTTGTTGTTATGCTTCCTACTACACATTAAACATGTTTTATACTAGTCTAGACTGCTTCATAGGAAATTCAGAAGCAATTTCTTCACGCCAATGTGAGAGATAACAAATAAATTAGTTTCCTCCAACATTTCACTGCATTCTATAATTGTGTTAAGATAATATAATAAGGTCATCAAAAACATAGAATTTACCCAAAAAAACATATGAACTCAAACTAGCAATTGGTAGTTATTAAATATCAAATGAACGAAATTATCACAAACCACAATCATTTCATTCCAATGGCATGTCAATAATCATGTCCCTCACACAACTATGCCCTGCACACCACCATCACCATCCTCATGACATTTTGTGCACATTTCTAGAGAAGTTATAAACTTTTTTTGGGTACAACATTAACGTTTTAATGAATTCTTATGTTTTTCATTTCCTTCTGTTCTTCATGTTTTTATTTTCTTCTTATTCTCTACTGCTCTTCATCTTATGTTTTTCATTTTAATTCTTCCCTCTTCTTTTTCAATTCTCTCTTCTTCATCTTCTTCTGTTCTTCTTCTTCAGTATGGCTTCTTTTGGTTAAACTAATTACAACGTTACAACAAGAAATGCAAGATTGTCCCAAATGTTTAAATCTGAGCGAAAAACCAAAGAAAAAAAAAATTAGCCAAAAGAATAAACTGAAAACACATAAATTAAAAGCTGAAAAGAGTAAGCAAATGTTGATACCAAGTTATATGTCAATTATGAAGAACTCAAAAGCAACCAAATGTAACCAAGGTGGTTGGTGTGAGTGGTTCGGCACTCTCATTCCTTAAGAGAGGTCAGGGGTTCGATCCCTGCTCTCGTATGGAGTCACCACTTTGGCCAGCACTTTACTCCTTACGGGCCGACCCGGTGTGAACGGGGATTAGTCTGGGTTGTGGTTAAGGCTTAAAGGTGCCATCCATAGTTGGAGCCCATCCAGAAAAAAAAAAAAGCAACCAAATGTTGACATATAAATATACAGCATAGTAACAATACAAAAAATTAAATACCAAAAGCATAATAACACAAAGACTCTTGATATAAAAATAAAATAAAATATTCAGGGTAACATATTCTGTGTGATAGAGTCTGAAATTTATTTTTTTCTGAGAAGAATCCAGACTCTGTTTCTATTATGAAGGACGCAAATATCAGCAAAAAATAAACAAAGTGAGGCTGAAAAAATGATTGACAATTTGACAAACCTCTTTGATTACGAAACTGAACCACAATATTATTCTCTGAGAGTTCTTGAGAGAGAAATATTATATACAGAGAGGATGGGGAGAGAGAAAGCTACTGAGAGAGGATACACGCACTGGCGGACCCATAACTTTTTTAGCGAAGGTGCAATATTAACTAAGTATGAAAAATGGTTTTTTGGAATAATCATTTTCTCAAGGTAATTTTTGGCGGCTTTTATTCCTTACACATCAAATAAGAAAACTTGATTTTATGGGATTTTAGTATGAAGTATATATTGACTTAATGAGCCATCATTTTTAGCCTAAATCGTATTTTGCACTAAAACCGAATTTTCATATTTTGATTTGGTGGGAATTTGATTTTATAGTATTTTTATTTGAATCCAAATGGGGAGTACTTCCTTATTTACATTGTAAACTGAAGTAAATGGAGTAATATAAAAATAAATACAAGTAAAAGGACAAAGACATTTACTTAAATGTTGAAAATGGAAATAAGGTAATTTGTACAACAGTCGAGCAAAGGGGCAATTTGAAACACTTACAATGGTTTTTCCGGCGAGGGGAGGTGCAGCTGCACCTACTTGCGCCTTACTAGGTCCGCCAGTGGATACACGGGTGGAGGTTATGGAGGTTATCGGATTGATGGAGTTGGTGGTGGGATGTTAGATCGATCTTTATGCTTTCCATGTTTTGTGTTGGAGGTGTTTTTGGAAGAGGGATGAAAGCAGAAGGAAGAAGCCTGCATCACAGGGCTAAGAACTCAGCTGTTTTCGACGTGATGAGCTTCGGTGCCCGAGCGGAAGGCCGAACTTGGATCTCAGTGCCCTGATTTTAGTTTTCTTTTACTCATCATGTGAATTTGTTCGCTGTAGGCATTTGTAGTCATTTTGCTCTATTTTGACAAGGAGATACAACTGGTGCTCATAATTTCAGGCCTTCATGGTAGTATGAAAGGAGGCATACAGTCTCCACATGTCAAATAGTATCGCCATGCGACTATACTATTTTTAATATAATAAAAACAGTAATATACCCGCGCAACTATAATATTTTTAATATAAAAAATCGGAGAAAAAAAGCCCCTCTGTGCATAGCACCATTTTGTCACGTGTTGAAAATAGTACAGCCGCGCGGCTATACTATTTTTTAATAAAAACCATCGTACAGCCGAACGGCTATACTATTTTTATATAATAAAAACCATAGTATAGCCGCACGGCGATACTATTTTTAATATAAAAATCCTCGTATAGCCGCCCGGCTAGACTATTTATAAAATTGAAAAAGACGACCCACCTGGTGCCTAGCGCTCATTTCGCAATGTGTTCAAAACACTATTTATAATTAAAAAAACAGAAATTGATGACACGATGTAGAATTTTATTTTATTATTTTTTATTATCAGGGATGCGAGTTGCTGTCGTGATCATAGAGAGAAGCCCATGTCGTTGAGGTCAAGCTCACACCCAGAGGCGTCACGGGTGGAGGAGGTTATGGAGGTTATCGGATTGATGGAGTTGGTGGGACGTCAGATTGATCTTTATGCTTTCCATGTTTTGTATTGGAGGTGTTTTCGGAAGAGGGATGAAAGCAGAAGGAAGAAGCCTACGTCACAGGGCTAAGAACCCAGCTGTTTTCGACGTGATGAGCTTCGGCGCCCGAGCGGACGGTTGAACTGATGACAGCAATGTTGGATCTCAGTGCCCTGTTTTTAGTTTTCTTCTGATCAGCTCTTTCTCATCATGTGAATTTGTTTGCTGTAGGCATTTGTAGTCATTTAGCTCTACTTTTACAATGAGATACAACTGGTGCTTGTAATTTCAGGCCAGTATGGAAGGAGGCATAGTATAGCCGCGCGGCTGGACTATTTTCAATATTAAAAATCCGCGTATCGCCGCCCGGCTATACTTTTTATAAAAAAAAAAAAAAGCCCAGCCTGTGTCTAGCTCCGTTCCGCCACATGTCGAAAATAATATAGCCGATCGGCGATACTATTTTTAATATTAAAAAATCCGAGTATAGCCGAACGGCTATACTATTTATAAAAATAAAAAAGGTCCCGCCTGGTGCTAGAGCCCATTTCGCCACGTGTCCAAAACGTAAAGCCGCGCGGCTATAGTATTTTTAATAAAACCCGTAGTATAGCCGCGCGGCGATAATATGTTTAATATAAAAAACTCCAAGTATAGCCGTTCGGCTATACGATTTATAAAATAAATAAAAACATAAATTGATGACCCGATGTAGAATTTTATTTTATTTTTTTAATTTTTATTATCGCGGATGCGAGTTGCTGTCGTAATCATAGAGAGAAGCCAAGGTCGTTGAGGTCAGGCGCACACACACAGGCGTCAGAACTCATAAGGCCATAGCGTAACGCCATAACCCAGTTTCAAAAACAATCCGTCAGCTTTCTCGCATTTTCTGCACCCTGCTCTGCTCGGCACCATCGCCAGCAAATCACCCCCTTATCATCCAAGTTTTGCCAGATTGTCTCCACCGGGTCTCGTAAGTACCTTTCATTCCTCTCTCTTCTCTTCTGAGTTTGGGCATCAATTTATGAATTTTGATGCCACTCGTTGCATATAATTTTTACGCTATGATTGATTTGTCTATCCGTTAAAGATTCTACTATTAAATTGTAAAATCGGGTTGAAATTGAATTGGTAATATTTATTTACATTGGGCATGAAATATATCTTAAAAGGGGTGTTGGGCAATTTTATGTTGGGGTTTTGCATGAAATTTGATCAGAACTGTGGATGAATGTTGTTATCTTCTTTGCATTGTCTGGTTTTCGATAGATGAGAGACTGTAAATTTTAGCATAAGGTGCAAGAAATGTGATACATTATGGGCCTTTTTCCATTGATAGGGTAGAGGTTCTTCATTTCTTCTCTTATTTCTTGTGATTCCTACCCACCAGTGACGTACATTTTTCTATTTAGGAAATTTGGTTTCCGGTAACCCTCAGATTAATTATGAACGGATGTCAATGGGAAAATATCTGTTAAGGGGAGTGTTATTCGCACTCCCTATCGTCCTCCTGTATTCCAGCGCAGGATTGGTGTGGGGGAGTGCCTAGTAAAAGTCAAAGAAAATTTGATATATCAGCACATAAATTATGATTACTACTAGAAGTTGGAATTGAGGCTCTATTGAGTTCGGGTGAGTGGATTCGTTGAAACGAAGAAGAGAGTATCTGTAATGCTTTCTCATTAATTGGAGACGGAGCTCTGGTCTATTCTAGAATTTGATCAATAGTGTGTACAGATTGTTTATACATTTCTAGTTTATCTGTTGTGAAGGTTATGCAATTGCCTATGTCTGCTACTTCATCCATTGTTGGTTTGCTCTTGAGGTCACTCTTGTTTCTCTTGTCAGTCTGCCGAGTTAATTTATCCTTAGGGAAAATGAGTGTCAAATTTCTCAAAATTCCTGCAATGCAAACGGATTCTTCAATTCAAATATCTGGTTGCAGTCCCTAACTTTTGTAATAATATATTTGTATTTATCACCAGTCACTGGTTTTATTATCTTTGAAAGCTTCTGGTTACTTCGAATTTTTTGTTTTTTAGGTTTTCCCTAAGACAGCTACCTGCATTTCAGGGCTCAGTGAATCACCATTGAACTTTGTTATGGCCATAGGGATTATTAGACAAGGATGTCTGGGAGACGTAAAATTCCATCGTCTTTTGAGCGACGTCCCATTCAATCTCCAGGTATGATGCGGCATGGTCCATTGCCTGGGTTAGGGCGGCCTCCTGGTCACCGACCATTTGAGGCACTACCACGTCCTGAACTATTGGAAAATAAAATTGCATATCAAGCAGCAGAGATAAAACAACTGACAGGAGACAATCATAGACTGGCAGCTGCCCTGTTGATTTGAGGCAGGATCTTTTAGCTGCTGAAGAGGAAGTACAGAGGCTCAAAGCACATATGAGAAGCATCCAGACTGAGTGACATTCAGCAGGGCGGCTATAATATTTTGTAAAAAAAGGTCAGGAAAAAACCGAGTATAGCCGAGCGGATATACTATTTGTAACCCAAAAAAACCCGCGTATCGTTCGGCTATACTATTTACAAAATAAAACAAAGGCGGCCCAGGTTTCAAAAATAGTATAGCCGCACGGCTATACTATTTGTAATATATAAAAAAATCCGGGTATAGCCGGCCGGCTATACTATTTATAAAATAAAAAAAACCGCCTGACGCCTAGAGCCATTTCAACACGTGTCAAAAATAGTACAGCCGACCGGCTATACTATTTTTAGATAATTGAAACCTTAGTACAGCTGCGCGGCTAGACGATTTTTATATAAAAATGTCCGTGTATCGCCGACCGGCTATACTATTTATAAAATCAAAAAAAGTGGACCCGCCTAGAGGCTGTGCCCAATTTGCCACGTGTCAAAATAGAATAGCCGCCCGGCTATACAATTTATAAAATTTTAAAAAATATCTGCTGGCGCTTCAACAGTATCGCCGCTCGGCTATACTATTTTTATATTAAAAACCGAGTATAGCCGATCGGCTATACTATTTATAAAAGAACAAAAAAAGGACCGCATGGCTCCTATGGCTCATTTCGCCACGTGTCAAAAATAGTATAGCCGCCCGGCCATACCCCTTTTTAAATAATAAAAACTAGTATAGCCGTTCGGCTATACAGTTTTTAAAAAGTCCGAGTATAGCCGCTTGGCTATACGAGTTAAAAAAGGTCCCCCTGTCGCTACCGCCATTTTTCTACGTGTCAAGTGGACCCGCCTGGCTGTACTGTTTATTATCTGAGAGTTCTTGAGAGAGATTCTAATACAGAGAGGATGGGGAGAGAGAAAGCTACTGAGAGAGGATACGCGGGTGGAGGTTATGGGGGTTATCGGATTGATGGAGTTGGTGGGATGTTTTTGTGGAGTTTCCCACGATGTGGGCTCTCTTTCTTTGGCAGAATTATACACGTTCATATTTTAAATTTTAAATAATTTTTTTGGGGTATTATTGTCCATGAAGTCTGTGATCAACTGCTTTTGGTCTGTCTTTGTAACTGCTTTTGAAATATTCGAATAAGATCACCACACTCACACTCACACTCAGAACTGTAATTAGCAGAGGCTGGAAGATAACAACCGTTCCAAAATGGGCAATATGAGCCTTGAGTTCTTGGACGTCAGATTGATCTTTGTGCTTTCCATGTTGTGGGTTGGAGGTGTTTTTGGCAAGGGGGTGAAAGCAGAGGGAAGAAGCCTGCATCACAGGGCTAAGAACTCTGCTGTTTTTGACGTGATGAGCTTCGGCGCCCGAGCGGACGGTCGAACTGATGACAGCAATGTTGGATCTCAGTTCCCTGTTTTTAGTTTTCTTTTGATCAGCTCTTTCGCATCATGTGAATTTGTTTGCTGTAGACATTTGTAGTTTTAGCTCTATTTTGACAAGGAGATACAACTGGTGCTTGTAATTTCAGGCCTTCATGGCAGCGTGGAAGGAGGCATGCCAGTCTACAGGTAGGGTGCACATTACGATACCGAAAGGGACATACATAATTGGCCCTCTTAAATTCTCAGGCCCCTGCCTAAACGTATCGTCTCTGACGCTTCGCGTGAAGGCAAGACTTGTTTTCATGATTTCTATCTGCTACATTTTATACATTATAGTATCAACTAGCAAGTCATTTGCTGACGGCTTTGAGAAATAAATTGTTTGCATTGCAGGGTTATTTGAAGGCTACAACGGACCTGCGCAAGTATGGATTTGGTGGCGGTTGGCTCGAATTTGCGTGGATGGAGGGGCTAACCTTGACCGGAGGTGGAACCTTTGATGGCCAAGGTGCTCGAGCCTGGCCTCACAACAAGTGCCCCACAGACTCCAAATGCAAGCTTCTTCCAACTGTATGCTTCATAGCTTTCTCTTTCTGTTCTTAAATTGTACATCATTTTTTGGAGCTAATTGGAAATCAATTTCTCCTTCTCAGAGTTTGAAATTTGTGGCAATGAATAAGACTGTCATCCGAGGCTTAACCTCAGTGAACAGCAAGTTTTTTCACATAGCTCTTGTAGAATGTCACAACTTCAAAGGTAGCAGGCTCAAGATTTCAGCCCCCGAAACAAGTCCTAACACCGATGGCATCCACATCGAACGAAGCTCTAGTGTCTACTTCTCTCTGTCGCATATTGCTACCGGTGATGACTGCATCTCGGTTGGACAAGGAAATTCTCATATCACCATAACAAGCATCACTTGTGGACCTGGCCATGGCATCAGGTACTTTGAATTTAATGAAATAGTACTTACGTATGTATGAAGCTTACTTAGCCTCATTAACACGTATTTTCGGGTACATGTTTGCATTTTTTTTAAAATCATAGTGTGGGAAGTCTAGGAAAATATCCGGACGAAAGAGATGTTAGTGGACTTGTAGTGAAAGACTGCACCATGACAGGTACCACCAACGGCATTAGGATCAAGACATGGGCTAACTCTCCCAGCAACAGCGCAGCCACGAACATGACATTCGAAAACATTGTCATGAATAATGTGACCAATCCGATCATAATCGATCAATTGTATTGTCCATTCACATCCTGCACTTCTAAGGTAACCAAATTTTCCACGCATGTAGTAAAAGTGCTTCATTTCTGGTTTGAGTTTTATTAGGTTGAACAAAATGCCATCCTGATCATATTATATACTATCTTATTGAATTTGTATAAAATTTTGCAGGCGCCATCCAGAGTGAAGCTGAGTGACATATACTTCAAGAACATAAGAGGGACATCATCGTCGGAGGTGGCGGTGGCTCTTGAATGCAGCGAAGGGATCCCATGCCAGAATATTTACCTTGAGGATGTTCACTTGGACCTGTCATCTGGGGAGAAACAAGCAACTTCAAGTTGCAACAATGTCAAAGCTAAATTTAGTGGCACCCAAATCCCACCTCCATGTACTTAGTTGCTTGCCACTTTGTTTGGTGGATTTGGGAGATCCTAATAGTTAATTTCCACTTGAAATTTGATGTTTGGACTTCAATGCTGTCTCAGGAACACTGCACTACTTCCATGAAGAATTTAGAGTTTTTCTTTCCTGTTTCGGTGACTATTTATCTTTCTCTTATCTGTGCTAGCAAAGACCATGGAAATTGCCAAATACATTTTTCTTTTAGATATTTTAACAAAGATATAATTTGGTTTGGCTTGGACTATGAATATCACACTTCTAGACGAGACTTGTAAGACACAATATGTTGGATTGTTGTTCAATTTATAAGCTCATCAAACAGCGATCGGGACATATATCTAATTGAAATAGTCCAATTCATGCCGAGACTTCAAACACGGATCATTAAAAAAAGTTGAAGTGTTGAGTATATTTGTCAACAAATGGAAGTGTTTAGATACACACTCAAGCATCATGAATTTTGGAGTGGAAGCTATTCTTCATGATGATCCTCTGTTGGTTGAATAAAATTCCAATATTCCCCCATAACAAGAAAAGGATGCATAGATTATGTAAGCATCCTGTCCTCATCTTCGGAAAAACACCAAAACAGAAAAATGATACTGATTATTTGGAAGAAAAAAAAAAAAAAAAAAAAGAATTTTGTAAAACATAAAATATCCAAATTTAAAATTCTAAAACGTCACATTAGTCGTACCAATAAAATCTAGATAATCAACGCATACATAGTAATTGAATCACGACCGAACGCGTGTCTCGTATATGAGGACATGGGCTCAAAAAGTAAAAATCATATTAGAAGAATAATTTATTATATCCTCGTGTTCATTTTCCCACACGCATTGTGGGTTTTGTCGACTTGCTTGCTCTGTCCTCTGTGTGTATATTAGTAAGGCGAAGGAAGAAGAAGAAACAAAGTCGGAATTTTTGAGAGAGAGAGAGAAGAAGAAGAAGAAAAGAAGAAGATGGAGAGCGCATCAGAAATGGTGGCATTTCCATTGCTGACGACGCCGATCGAATCGAACTACAGAGCCTGCACCATCCCCTTCAGGTTTCCCTCCGACAATCCTCGCAAGCCAACCCCGACTGAGCTGGCGTGGATCGACCTCTTCCTCAACTCCATCCCTTCCTTCAAGTAATCTCCATCTTCCTCAGCTCCATGATGAACCCTAATTTCTTCTTCTTTTTCGTGTTAATGGGTTTGGTTGGTTTTTTGGGGGCAGGAAGCGAGCTGAGACCGATGCTGTTGACGATGCTCCGGCTAGAGCTGAAAAATTTGCTCAAAGGTTAGTGATTGTTTTGTGATGAGTTTATTGATTGGTGATGAGGTTGGTTTTTGGAAATGTATGTAATGTGTTTGTGTTTTTTACTGAAAGGTACTCTGGGATACTTGAGGACTTGAAGAAGGACCCTGAGAGTCATGGTGGCCCACCAGATTGCATTGTAAGCTCAAAATTTGTTTGGTTACTAGTTTTTGTTGCAGTTGTGATATCATCATCATCTTCTTACCATGGAACATTTCTGTTTTTTTTTTTTTTTGGTTGGGGAAATCTAGCTTCTTTGCAGACTTCGTGAGCAAGTCCTTAGGGAGTTGGGGTTCAATGATATATTTAAGAAGGTCAAGGTGAGTGCTTGCTAACTGTTATAGAAAACTTTTCCAATGCATTTTGTCATTAATTAATTGACAAAGAGTTCCAAATACTGATCAAACACTTCAGGATGAAGAGAATGCAAAGGCCATATCCCTGTTTGAGAATGTAGTGGATTTAAGTGATGCTATTGAAGATGAAGGAAAGCGCCTAGAGAATCTCGTTAGAGGGATATTTGCTGGAAACATATTTGATCTTGGTTCTGCACAGGTATGCAATTTTCTTATTGTTGTAGAACTAGTAAGTATTTGATACCTGACTAAAGGCCTTCACTCCCCACTACTTGAATTTGGTCATATAAAATTTTTACATACATCATACTTATTCTTAGGATATGCATGACAAAATGGTTTTTGTTACACAATTACTTGTTAATATTAAAGCAATACTTTATCTATACAACTTCTTTCAGTGGCAACTGCTTGACATTTACTTGTTTTTATGTTCTTGAAGCTCGCAGAAGTTTTCTCAAAGGATGGTATGTCCTTTTTAGCTAGTTGCCAAAACCTTGCCCCTCGACCCTGGGTTATCGATGACTTGGACGCTTTCAAATTGAAATGGAGCAAGAAATCTTGGAAAAAGGCAAGTTCCATGTGCATGTTATAGATCTCTCTGAAAGAAGTTATGCCATTATATATGCTTTATATGTATTAACCAATTGTCCTTTTATGTTTTGGTGTTCACAGGCTGTTATATTTGTTGACAATTCTGGTGCGGATATTATTTTGGGAATTTTGCCATTTGCAAGAGAGTTACTACGGCGTGGGACACAGGTTTGCAGTCAGATCTTGTTTCTTCTGTTGAATGGTTCTTATGGTGGAAATCCCAGAAGTTCTCTAGCATCCTTTCTCTTTCTAAGAAAACTATATATGTATTCTTTAGTATGCATTTCTAAAGTTAAGCTGACTCTGTGCCAATTAAACCAGGCATGGAATGAGTATTCTGAGTTCTGGTGTCTTTTCGTTTTCCAAATTTCTTTCAATTGCTTTCATGCTCGATTTTTGAATGAGTTGCCTTGTTAAGCCTATTTGCACATGATTATCTCCTTCTTTTATGCAGGTTGTGTTGGCAGCTAATGACTTGCCTTCTATCAATGACATAACTTACCCTGAACTGATTGAGATTATATCAAAGGTAATATAAAATTTTAGAATAACTTTTTTTCAAAATCTTGGATAATACTAATGTTATAAGTGGCAATTTACCAGTTAAAGGACAATGAGGGGAAGCTCAAGGGTGTTGATACTTCAAATCTTTTCATTGCCAATTCTGGTAATGATTTGCCGGTAAGGGAATGGAAGCTCTTGTTTGTTGTCCGATTGAATTGATGCATTCTTTTTCACGATTATGAATATGGTTACAGTTGTATAACATTAACCTTTTTGGTTTCTAAATTCCTTGCAGGTTATTGATCTTTCAAGCGTGTCACAAGAGATTGCCTACCTGGCGAGTGATGCAGACCTAGTTATTATGGAAGGAATGGTAAAAACCAACCCAGAAACTTACTTGGATTCTTATTATTATTGAGTCTTAATTGAATTATTGAACTGGTTGCTTTATTTGAAGGCTAGTTACGTGCATATATTGAAGTGTATAAAATGGACTCCATATAAATTGAGTAGACATGGATGTTAAAAGTGGTATAGTAGTGGGTAGAAGTCTAGTGGATGTGTAGAATCTCTTGAGATGATGTCATTTTAATATAACTTATATTGCTTTTGACAGGGTCGTGGGATAGAGACAAATCTTTATGCGCAATTTAAGTGTGATTCCCTCAAGATTGGGATGGTAATGCTTCCACTAGAATTTTCTGTTGCTTCTATACTGATTAGTTTAGTTGAGCATCCTTTGTGCATAATATTAACTTTGTGCAACTTCTGTTTGCTTCTCCCCTTTCTTTATCACAGGTGAAACATCCCGAGGTTGCCCAGTTTCTAGGAGGAAGGCTTTACGATTGCGTCTTCAAATACAATGAAGTTTTGTAGAGTTGATAATGTTGATTCTTGTCTTGTCTGTATTCTTAATCGAATTTATTCTAAGTCATCCAGAGTACATGAAGTATTAGATCTTAGCTACTGCAAGAGCTTTAAATATTTAAGACTTTGAAATTCAGCCTCCTGATAAATAAACGTGTCTACTGTTACACGTGGTTTAGATTAATCTCCCATACATGTGTTTTTGGGTGCATGTTGTGCAGGTCTGTTCACAGTAAACCTGTCTCTAGTCTAATTTCGATTAGAAATAAGAAATTTATTTCCTTATTGAATTCCCTTGATGATATTTTTGTGTTCGGTTTCGATAGAAGAAAGAGTGAGGGGGAGAAGAGAAACAATACAAATGGTTTTTTTTTCTTTTCTTCATTTCTCTTTATATTTTCTCTTTTTTCTTGTCTGTATTACTACTTAAATTAAAAAGTAAAAATGAAAATTTCTTCTTATATGCTCTGGGATGTTTCTACCTGCAAATGGAAAATGATATAGCTTTCCACAAAGTCATACAAGAGTCAGATTTTGATATAGAGTAGTGCGCTCAGTTCAGTTGTAGCCTTTTTGTCATAAATTTCTTAGCAATTTTATTAATAAACTGGAAGGATAAGGGTACACAAATAAAATCCATCATTTGTGGAAGTACAACACAGAAGAAAAAAGAAAAAACAAAGGTTTTGTTTACCAAAGGAGATGCATGTTAATAGATCATTTCTTTTTGGTGGGATATGAAGCCATCTTGTTGATGCCACAGAGTCCTTCTGGCTTTCCTGTGTTCCTCTTCATCCTTACGTAGCCCTTCTCACCCCACTTTGGTCCCCATGAGTTCCTCACAATGATGTAATCTAACCCCTTTTGAGAACCATATCCAACGGCTGCTACACCATGATCAAGCTCAGTCCCGCAACGCCCGTTGAAGACTCCCTGCAAAAAACCAACAATCCATACAGTTAGGGTTAACCAATGTGTTTTAGGCATTAAACTGTGCATGAATAGGTTTTGAGTTCTGAAAAAAGAACCCAAAAAAAAAAAAAAAAAAAAGCTCACCCCACTATAGAACTGGAAATCTCTGCCAGAGGCGTCAATAGCTATGCTAAGAGGCTGATTAGCCAGTGCCTTAAGGAGAGCTTCTTCGTTATTTTCAGGCACGTCTTGATAACCGTTTATAGTCACCACCTCTGAAGCTCCCTGAAGATTGCAAAATCAAATGCAACTATAAGAACAGCCATGATCTGATGACAGCTAAATTTGATCAAAGAAGCAAAAGCATTATAATGCATTGCACCCCAATTAGCAGTACTTACCTTCTTTTTCTCACAATTGCCTTCCTCCATAAGATATGGGTAATCATCTTCCTTGTTAAGCCCACCATTGGACATTATAAACTGAAATGCATAATCCATCAAGCCCCCATTGCAGCCATTGTTGAATGATCTGTCACAATCTATCAGTTGCTGTTCAGACAGGGAAGTTAGGTTTCCTGTGACAATCTGGTTTATGCCCTCAACAGCAGCAACAGTAGAAAATGCCCAACAGCTACCTGCAGATTGTCATCTTTGCTCATTACTACATGATATAAATACATATTACATATGGAGAGAGAGAGAGAGAGAGAGAGAATTCGGCACATACCACATGAACCTTGGTTCTTGACAGGAGTTACAGCTCCTTTCTTTCTCCAGTCCACGGATTTGGGCAATGCTTCGACATCAAAATCTCTATAACTGAAGTCTCCGGTGGACTCTCTCCTTCTTGTGGATTCGGGTTTTAGCCCCAAGTACTTGCTCTTGAACTCTTCATGGCTCAGGTCTGCAAACTCATTCACCCCAAGCCAGTAGCTATCAACATCAAGGTTCTTGTTCCTTTCATCAATGTGCTTCACATTGTCTCTGAATATCTCAAACCTATGCAGCTTCTCTTCCATGGTTTGGTAAATCTTGCTATGTTTCGATATCCACGATTCGAAGAGCATGATGAACTTGTCCATGCAAGTCAGGTCCTCAGGGGAATAACCCACGATCGAAAACTCGTGAGCCAGAGAAGAGCCCAGAAAGAGAGGCACAAGGAAGACCAGAAGGGACATCTTAGAGAAAGCCATTGGTGATCAACAATAGAGAATAAGAGAGTTAAAAGAGAGGAAGAGATGGATGAATGTGAGAGAGTGAGGGGATGGAGTGGGTCTTATATAGTGTTTTGATTTGATCATGAGGTTGCTTTCAAGTGAAGTGGTTGAGTTGTTTTCTACAATACCAAGTCTTTACGGTTGGTTCTTTTGGACAGGCTTTTGTCCCAAGCATGATCATTTGTTTAAGCATAAGCTTCAAACAAATATGATTTCACATACATGGGTTAGAGTTGCTAGCCGCCCTTATTCTACAGATTCAGAGTTTCTTTTTTTCTGATTATTATAAACCATTCTCTAATTTTGTCCAAGCTCAAACTTAAAGTTTAGTCATGACTAAGGAGATGTGTTGGGCTTTACTTAGAATTATCACAGTCCTACAGTTGTGTATCTGTTGCTGTTCATAAAAAGTCACATTGAAAATTCCAAACAGTCCATGACTGATGAAAATTTGAGTTTGGTAGGTAAGTTCCAAACTAGGAAAATTCGAGATACAATCCAACCATTTGTACATTTTGATTGTATTGATGGTAAGTTTCAGCCTAGCTGCCCAAAGCGATTAAAAGCTTTGATTTCACAGAGATCAGATCACTCTTGGTCACCTCCTAGATTGATATGCAAACCATAAATATAGTTATCATAAATATGGTTTTCACCAAAACATGAATAGATTGAAGATCTTCTTGCAACGCTCTTTTTATTCAATAATATAATTTGCTTGATCTGCCAATCCTAGAGATTCAATAATTTCCTCCTATCCTCCATGGTTAAATCAGTTTGTTGCTCTGATGTGAGCTGCATGACTGCAATTTGCTTTGTATCTCTATACTCTGCTATATCCGACGACGGATGCTCATTTCTTCAATCAACATTCCACGTAGAAAAAGACTTGAGGCAACTATCAGAAACTAGAACCTTGAACTCATTTAATATTGAATGAATTGAACACAAATTACAGGAGAAAGAGTATATTCCTTGTCATCTAATCTGATTTTGAATCAGTATTCAAGATATCTACTGAACATTTGAATAGAACAAGGCAAAAAATATATAAGTAACATACGCCTTTACACTGACTGAAGAAGTGGGCGGAGATGACAAAATGAAGTCATCACTATCTTTGCACCTTCCCAATTGAATGCAGATAAACCGCAACTGAGACAACGCTGGAAACAAGAAATGAGGCATGGATCAACCATTGTATCTCTCAAAATGGCCAAAAAGCTATTTCCCTTTATCTATGTCTTAATGTGGCAAATTGCGAAATTTTGAGATAAAGTGATGTTTTTTAAAATCTGAGTCAAACCACAGACAGCTTCTCATAGTATAACAAATTGTCAATATCTTTGACAAGTTGATTATGCTACATGACAAAACTGAATGGAGGTCTCTAGGACACTTAATTTACCATAATAACATAGAAAGTAGATATTTCATGTGAGCAGAGGAAACTTACGTTGAGCCAAGGAAAAAGGCAAGGGATAGATGAAAGCCAAATAGAAACACAGACACAACTGCTGTAAGAAGCATTGCTACCGATGTAGAATATACCTGCAGAACACAGCTAAATTTAAGATTGGAACTTCCTAAAAGGACTAGAGATGTGAGAAGTGTGATTCCAACAAACATTATTAATTTTAATAACCAAAAAAAAAAAATATATATATATATATATATATGTATGTATGATTAACACTTGGCAAGCCGCAAGTAGTCCAACAGAAAATAAAAAGACAAGCATTCCCTGCTACCCCATCCACTTCTTGCTTAACATGGCCAAAGATATGTACGGAAGTTGCTACAACCGATCAAGATTTTATCAGAGGAATGAAGAAATTATGAATTCATTCTACCAAAACACCCCAAATATCACATAAGTAAATCAAATTAAAGAAAGAATGTTGTAATAGTATGCCAAGGCACGATTGTAGAACATTATAGAGATGCATGTAAAAGTACATTAGTGAATGCCTCACCAAAATCAAAGCTGTAATTCCATGTCTTACCTTCACAATATTATCAGCATACTTCATAACCATAGACACAGCAATGCCACTGCAAAGGAAGCCAACGTAAGCAATCGAATAGACCCACAGTAGGAAAATTATAGAGAATATCTGTAACAAGCAAAAAGCTATTGATAAACTGATGAGCCAAAGAGGATACAAATGTACCTGAGTGCATGGTTGAGAATCATTAGAACTGTAATAAATGAGTATCCATGGAAGAATCCCCTGAATATAGAATAATAACTTATAATTATAATTGGAATACAGGGGAATAGTTTTCAGTAGCTAGTAGGCAGAAAACGCATTTTTGGAGGCAGGATCTTCTAAAAATAAAAGCAGAAATAATTAATAAAGTGATAGACCCAAAAAAAAAAAAAAAAAAATCAGAAATGGAGAAAAGGGTTTAAATTACTTGTTCATCACCGCATCAAAATCTTGAATCACTATAGCAACAGCATTGAAGGCCATTCCGAATACGTACAACCAGAAGTTCTGCACATTTATATTCCTTGAAGGGCGCTTTTTAATAATGGCCTGCCAATATCATACAGAAGATTTTAACATAAGTTTTTTTTTTCCAGAGCAATCAAAGAACCCACAATTTATTGGCGCTGCACATTGTCAACCACAGTGTTCTCAATGCCAATAAAGACTCATCTAAACCCCAAATTTTGATAACAGTAAGTATGATGTGAAAATAAGTTTTGATTCTTTAAACATGAAGTGGAGAACAAGCTTTAAAGAAATTCACCTCGGTGTATACTCCAGCAAAACCACTTAAAAGTGCCATTACCTGCAAATAACTAACAGTTACACTAACAAACATTGCAAATAAAAGGGGGAAAATAACAAAAGGAAAATTTAGATTAAGAGTCTAAAAAATGTTGAGAACTCACAATGGCCATCACCCAACCTTGTAATGGAGTTTGGAGAACACTATCAGATCTGCCAACAAGAAATCCATTTTAACCAGCTTGTTGAAGACATGCAGAAATTTATAAAAGCTACCAATTAAAAAGTGGTGAACAATGTTCACTGCCCTCTGATTTCCATACATAACTAAGGAATCTGAATATCAACTGATGAGTTTAAGTTTTTAACCTAGAATAATGTACATGATATTAATGAGTTGAGTTCCTCCATTGATTCAATACAGTTAACTCGCTATCATCAACATCTGGTGTCGAGCACTATGGATCAATCATATGCTAGGACTTTTTGAGGTCAGCATAAATTTAATCAGATAATGCAATGGAAAGATATAATACTGATTACACTTACTTTGGGTTCAGTTGTGCTGTAGTGCACCCTGCACATAGTATAATGAAAGCAGCCCATTGAATCTCACTTAACCTGCAAAAGTTAGAGTAGAAACAAAAGTTCATAAGAATAGTTTGCTTTAATCTTCAGCCAACAGTATATAGTAGCACACAAATAGGCAGCTTAGCTTAGTCCATATTTACTTACTTTCTCTTTAGTATGATTCTGTATAAAACACCCGTACTGATAATGTTCAGGTTCTTCAGTATTTGATAACCCGGAGCATCCACATATGCGAAGATATAATACTGACACATACAAATGAGCGGTAGGTGCAATCACACTTCAAGAAATAAGAAGACCTAACTTACTGATGCAAAAAGACAACATACTACTGCAACCAACCTGAAGCAGATTCTTGACTAGGTAAAGCAATGCCGGAATGGGGTATACACCAACTTCGTCCAGTGTTGTACTCAACCTAATTCATGACAGGATACACGTCACACAAATGACAAAAATAAAGAGCTAATACAATTATGTAATTCCGGGTTTCAATCTCTCTCAGTCGCCTATTATCCAGTCATTCCTCAATAACCAAAACATTATACAACGAATAGAATTGAGTTCTCCCATAAGATCACTGCAAGACCTGTTATCCTCAGTAACACCTTCATTGCTCCAGATTCGTGCCAAAGCAGCTAGTGACAAGGCACACTTCAAAGCCTCCACCTAATTCCCAAAACACAACCCATTTCAAGTCACAGAAAAAATCATAAAAACTTTGAAGTGTAATTAGAAATCTAACTTCCTCTGCCTCTCTTACCGAGAAATTTGCAGTGGTAACACTATACTCATATTTCCCAGCCCTCTTCGACCACACAATCAATATAGCTTGTGAACTCGTAAGGAAAGTCAAAGCCAGAGTAACAATTGACCTATTCGAACCAACCCAATACACACAAATCAAACAAAAGAAACTAAAAATAACAAATTTCTCTAACTTGGAGCAAATAACAAGATAGGCCATACTTGCGCTTCCACTTGGTCCGCTCAACTGGACCCACAGCAGAAATAGGCTTTCCCCTTAAACTCTCGACGTCTTCAGGAGCTGAAGCTCCATCTTGATCCTGCAATTAGATCAAATGGGGATGAAAAAGGTCGAAAATTTGAGGGCTTATTGAAGAAATCCGATAATGTTATGTGGAAAATACCTGATCTTTGAGCTTCCTGTACTCCATTTTCACACTGGGTTTGCTTTTATTTGTATAAATTTTGGTCCTTTCAGATCTCTAAGCCACAGAGGAAGACCCGCCACTGCCACAGCCACTGGGCTGTATATTGAACCGCACACATGCATAGCTCGCTTCACCTCAAGCAAGAAGAAAACCATCAAAACGACATCGTTTTCTGGTAACCGGTTCTTTCTCTTTTGGTCTGAACCCGACGGGTCGTCACTATGGCCTCTTCTGCGTCTTGGTTTCCTTCCGGCCTGTTATTACCAGGCTGTGGTAAGATCCAAAGTCCGAAAGCAGAAATAGAATTACCCAAGCCCAATGAGAAACCGAAATGGGTTATTAAGGAGGCCTCTAAATGCACTCATGGATTTGATCAATACACCCAACACCAACATATTCCGAAAGTCTCCATTTTATGCCCTTGGGTGTGTAGATCAAACTATATATAAAATTAAAAACCTAGCCAAGGATGGCTAGTCTCGATATCAGAGATCTGAGCGATACCAATATCTGAAATGGAGGTGATGGCTAGTCCTGTTCAACATACAATCTATGGGATCAGAGCGATACCTATATTTGAGATGGAAGTGATGTTGGTCATGAGTAGGGGTGGTTGCGGTTCAGTAACCGTGAATTTTTACTCAAACCGCAAACCGACCGACTATTTGCGGTTTGGTGATTTTTGAAACCGCAAACCGACTGCGTTTTGCAGTTTACCGCATTGTTACCGCGAATTATAGGTTTAAAACCGCAAGTTCTCAAGCATTCACAAAAATATAAATTCACAACCTAAATAAATAAATACACAACCTCAATTTCTCAAGCATATATAAATTAATAATCTCCTCAACTGCTCAAGCATTCACAACCTAAGAAAATTAAAGTTACAATTTCAAGCATTCCAATTAAAGTTAAACTTCTCAAGCATTCCAATTCCAAATCCTTTAAAGTTACAAACCAAAAGGAAAATGTAAAGCAAAATGAATTAAAGTTACAACCAAAAAGAAAAATCCAATTCAAAGTTAATTAAAGTTAAAACTAAAAGGAAAATGCAATGCACCAATGTTACAAACTCAAGTGTTGGTGGTGAGTGGATTTGAAGAACCTCGTTGTGTTGTTTGAGCACCAATATTATCTACAAATAAAACAACATAGTTTAGTACATTTTATTATAAGAAGAAGCATAAATAACATTAACATAAATAAACTAATTACTTACAAGTTGTCATATGTTCCATTTTCTTGTAGAATTCAACATCATCATCCGTGCGGCTATACTTTGCGGTTTGCGGTAACCGCAAGTTTTGAAAATCAAATACTGCAACCATAACAGCAAATGTGGTTCTGTTCTTAATTTGTGATCACATAATTTGTGATCACATAACAAAATCAATAATGTTACATCTTTATAACTTATTCATTCTCATCTCATATGAAAAATAAAGATACAAAATCTCCCATTCCCATCCTTCCACAAAAACTTATACTACCGACTTATTCACCAAATAGAAAATCTTGAAGCAAATTTTGAATACATACAATTTTTCATAAATCACAATATAAACAAGTATTGTGTTTTTATATGAATATGATATTAGCGTAATGTGGGTTTATTACTTATTCATTAAGCAATGTATTAGGGAAGGAGGGAGGGAACTAATGGGAATGAATATAATTTTGTAAGCGGGTTAATCGTTTTATTAGTCCCTGAACTTAGACCCGATTTGCATTTGAGTCCTTTAATTTTCAAAATCGTTCCCGTAGTCCTTCAACTTCAATTTCGTTAGGACAAATGGTCCTACCTCTCTTTTATCTAGGAAGCATAGGAGATCCAACATTTCATGAGGACCCCGGTTTGATAAAGAAGCAAGCTGAATCCAAACATACATTAATATTGGCAATCACATCCCACAATACACTCAATTTTAATAAAGAGAAATATAAAGTTACCCATAAGCTGAAGCACTCAGGATCTTGTGGTGAAGGCATCATTGCTTCCCGCTGAGAAGTCTCTCAAAAACACAAAAGAAAAGCTTCTCTAGAAGGACGAAGGAAAAAAAAGAAAAAGATAATATACAGGAAAGAGGACTAGCACTAGCTGTAGAATGTAATAATATGAACAAGGCAGAATGCCCAATTCGCACTCGCACTCGTCTTTTATTCTAGGCAAGTACCTGCACGACCATTTGCAGAAGATTCATGCTAGTAATTGAGCTTGAAATCCACCCACTATTAGCACATATATATCCGTCATGGCCCCGATGATTCGCGTACTTTGTTCTAATACTAACTTCAAGTCTGTAACTTAATCACTGATTGGTAATTCTAACTGCGAGAAATGTGCCTGAATGCAGAATTCATGCATGGTAAGAGAATAAAACGATGAGAGAACTAAAAAGGATGAGGACATGAAGTTTTTGTTTGAAAAACATATAGTTGAAGACAACTCTGACCTGAAATAGCAGATTGGCTTTGACATGTGGATCATCTAAGCAGTCCTTATCCACTTTATATCAAACTCAGGTTCAGTATTGTCCAAGCCATAGTAAGCTGGATTAAACATCTGTAGAAGACTATGCTCACGTCATTGTCATAGCAGCATCTGTAAATCAAATACTAAGGACACAAAGTAATAAAAACCAAAGGCTTTTAACTTGTGTCTTCACCACATTTAAATACAAGAGGATCATTGTCACAGCAGCAATGCAAATGATAGGCGTTCAGAAATTTAACAGCAAAAAAAAGATAGGTGTAGAGTATTGAGAAAATAAAAAGGGAAATGGTTTATTGATTAGATATAGGACTGCAAGACTTCGTACATTGACTTTATTAGATTTTCTGACATTCAAATCCCCGAACAACCTGATTCCTAGTATTTGAGGCACATATTCAGAAAAGTAACATGATTTGTTAGGCGCGGGCGGATTGTGATGGACATCTACTCCCATCTTTCTTGTAGAATCTAAGCAACTGTTGATTATAAAGGGAGAAAAGCATGTAATCTGATTCACATATTTCTTTCTTTCCATTTTTTATTCTATAAGTCAAGTGTGACCAAAACCATCATTTGCAATATATATGTGATTCATATTGGAAAATCAACGTATCCCTTTGTTTTCCCATCATAATATTCTGTAACCTACAAGAGAATCAACACTTACGTAAATTTGTCCTGAAGAACAGCTGCTGCAATATACTCCTACTAGAAACCTTTGTAAATATAGGAACCAAATGAAAAAGATACTGCACAAATTTTGCCTTACCTTTATAATGACCAGATGATGACCTGGAAGGTTTACAACCCATGCCAATGTGCTGGTACAAACCAATACCTATAATTTAATAGGTATGCCTCATCAGTATATAGAGTAAGAACATGATCTTTTTATATTCTCTTTTCCTAATGTGTTTGTTAGGAAAGACTCAAGCTTACTGAGGTAAGACAGAAATGCCTGAATCTTGTTGTCTGCAAAAAGCTCCACAACCAGAGATCCATCTTTGTAATCCAATGCCAAACTGCAATGTGTGCCTCAGGTTAAAGAACCATCTGCTGGGCTTCTTCTGGCATACTAAGAAACTGCCTTGGACGTTCATCTGACGTTGCCAACTTCAATAACAGAAAAGCACCCAAAAAAATTGAATCAACACCGCAGCCGAAACCGAAGAAAAAAATTCAAGCTTGAGTTGAGAGATAGGCTCAAGACCGAGTATTTGAATTTTGAAGATTGGACTGCGGGTGCAAGCTTCGTGTTCGTTTCTCTGTCTCTTCATTTCACTCGTGCACCACATTCCTCTGCGAGTGCAAGCTTCGTCTGTCTTCATATGGAAAAAAAAGGACGCCCAGACCCGCCCAGGCCGCCTAGAACCTCCCAAGCCGCCTAGGTGCCGCCTAGAAACTCCCAGGCCGCCTAGGCGCCGTATAGCCTCAGAGTGCCGCCTAGATCCGCCCAGGCCGCCTAACTCACTTATAGCCTCAGAGTTGTTATCTTAGTGGAGATTTCAATAGCTGAATGACATTTGCTGGTTTTCATAGAGAGAGTCAAATCCAATCCAATCAACGCAGCAGCCGAAACGAAAGCAAAAAAGAAATTGAAGCTTGAGTTGAGAGAGAGAGAGAGTCTTTGAAGCTTGGAAGCGAAATGGCTGAGTCGCGAGTGCAAGCTTCGTGTTTGTTTTGACCCTATTTAAAGCGTATACCCGCGCGGCTATACCTTTAAGATATTTGAATACATTCAAAGCTTATAGCCGTACGGCTATACCTTTAAAATACTATATTTAAATAGTACAGCCGTCCGGCTATACTCTTTAAATATACAATTTTGTCATGATATTTTATGGTTTAGGGCTAAAATACCACTTTAGCTAATTAGGATACAGTTATTTCTTCAATTATTTTATTTATACTAGTAATATTGTGGAATGAGAATTTAAGTTCTTTCCGATACCTCTCATTCTAATGATTTCCAACTATTAGCCCATTAGGCAAGAATAAAAAATGAATTTTATTTATAAGAAATAATACAGGTTAAACCCATAAATGCCACAACAAAAAATGAATCCAAAGGTTTTGGACCTTTCTACACATTACCTGTTACAAGATATTTATTTGTGGTAGCTCTTCTTGCCAATTAATTTTACGATTTTTAGCACCTTTCTACACATTACCTGTTACAAGATTTTTAGCAACCTTGTAAAATTCAAAGATGCAACTTCATAACATCCTCAATTTTGGCATTAACATACAAAGGTTTTGGACCTTGAGTAGACCAAGTAGCGGTGGCTAGAACATTTTATCAAATAGTTTTGCGATGAAGTAGCAGTGTTAGAACAGCTACCAAGTTCTAACTCCTGTCCTCTTCATAGAAAGAAGAGAAAAACATTCTGGGGATAATCTAACTAAAAAACGCACTGGCTGCAAAATTTAAATAATAACTATTTTATTGTTATCTTGTAAGTTTCATCCCTGAAAGTTGAAATCCTGCCAACCACGTTTTTCCATTTTTGAATTACCTCAAGATGAATTTCCTTTGTTTTATTTTTTATTTTGACATTTGGCTACCGAACTTCTTAACAATCATGGGTTACTTTTGAAGTTTTACATGTACAGATTCAAGCCTTCAAAGTGAGGGCCTTGAGGAGTCCATTTTCAGTGATTTTGTCTCCCACGTGTTATCTCTCAAAATCTTCATCTCTAATCCTAGACATTTTGCCATTCTACATATCTCCCCAGGCTGTGTGGGTGGGATGAATCACCTGATGAAAACCCATGCAGATACAGGGAACCATCAGCATCACCAGTATCCACCCAACTATATCCCACTTCCTTTCTCACTCCTTTATCTCTCATCCATTTCCCAGTCCCCTTTCTCAGCATACAAGTTGAACATCAACAAAAAAGAACCCGTTTCCATTGGTTCCAATCTCATCAATGTATCGGCTACTCTCTCCGCCATCTCCACATTCCCATGGATCCTGCAAGCCCCAAGCTGGCTTCGCAACCACAAAACCCCTGGCTGTCCCGGGATCTAACTCATCAATTCCTCTGCTTCCTCCAATTTCCCTGCACGTCCCAACATGTCCACCATACTTGAACAATGTTGAGGAGATGGTTCAATATGATAGTCTTTCACCATTGAATGAAAGAGGTGACGGCCCAGCATATGCGGATATTATTGCAGTCCAAGCAAACTGACTTTTATGAGGCGTCTTACTGAAAACTCTTTTGGACTCACAAATGCTTCCTCGCTTTGCATACATATCAAGAAGAGCACCTGCGATAATTGGGCCAGTCACTAATCCAAGTTTGATCAAGGAAGAGTGGCGTCATTGGCCATATTTCAGAGAAATATCCTGAGCATCACCAATTGCACTCAAGACACTACCAAATGTGTAATTGTTTGGCTTCGACTCCATAGTTGCTACCAAGAATGTTTTTAGTGCATCATGACACAGCCCGTTCGGAGCATACCCTGAAATCAAAGCATTCCACGATATGATTTCTCTCTAGTTTAACTCCTCAAGAACTTTGATGGAGTCATGCATGGACTCAAACTTAGCATACCCAAGCTGTTGCAAACATTATGCTTTGATAAAAAGCCAGTCTTTACGCAGAACCCATGAATCATTTCGCCTTCCTCCACCAACTTCCTAATTGATATAGCATGGATTAGTCCAACAAATGTAACATCATTTGGACATACTCCATCCAATCTCATCTCATTAAATAGAGAGATGGCATCTTCTTCGTCTATTGAAATCATAGTTGTCCAATACACTACGTTGCGATCATTCATGCACTGAAAGACCAATTTTTCATCTGCAGTAACCTCACACGTTGAATATGTCGAGATCAATACATTACAAACTGAAACATGACTTCCATATCCTGATTTAATTGTCAAGCCATGTATCTGTTTCCCAAGTTCTAGATTCATTTCATGACCGCAAGCTGAAACTGCACTAGTAAATGAGACATTATCAAACCCCATCCCTTCTCCCACCATCTCAATAAAGACAAAAATCGCCTCAATCCCATGATTTCCCTCTTGAGAATAACCTGATAGTATTGCATTCCATGAAACCAGATCCTCATTCGCCATTTCATCAAACACATTCCAACAAAAACTTCTATTAACCGCCTCTACATCGAATACATACTTATAAAGTGCATTTCCAACAAAAACTTCACCATCTAAACCAGACTTAAATATAAGAGAATGCAGTTGTAATCCAAATAGAAAATCTTCATGATCCGCACAAAAAGCAAGAATCATAGTATAAGTCACTGGATAAAAAACAACTCCATTAAAATTCATCCTAAGAGAAAAATTCAATGCACCCTCACTTGTTCGAAACCCCCAAAGAATAGTATTCCAAGAAACTATATCAGTATAGCACATAGTCTCAAAGATAAGTAAGGGACCATCAAACTGTCCAGCTTTGGTGTACATACTCATCAAAAAATTTGAAACCGTAGTATACGAAGCAAACCCAGAAGAAACTGCAGACCCGTGAATTTGGCATCAGGGTTTGGGGTCCTCTTGACAGGCCTTGATAGCAAGGGCAACGGTATTTTCATCGATGTTATGAGACAAATGTAGTTGAAGTTGCACTCGCATCTCAAGCTTCGATTTTTTATTTTTTATTTTTTCGTTTCGGCTGCTGCGTTGATTGGATTGGATTGGACTCTCTCTACGAAAACCATCAAATGTCATTCAGCTATTAAAATCTCCACTAAGATAACAACTCTGATGCTATAAGGGAGTCAGGCGGCCTGGGCGGATCTAGGCGGCCTGAGCTGGTCTAGGCGGCCTGGGCCGATCTAGGCGGTGCCTAGGCTGCCTGGGCGGTTCTAGGCGGTGCTGGTGGGTCTAGCCGGAGCCTAGGCGGCCTGGGCGGGTCTGGCCGCCTCATTTTTGTTCCAAATGAAGACAGACGAAGCTTGCACTAGCAATTCGAATATATTTAACGGGTACAGCCGGTCGGCTATACCGTTAAAATGTTCGAATATGTTCTAAGAATATAGCCGCGCGGCTATACATTGAAAATAATATATTTAAACAGTATCGCCAAGCGCCTATGCCTTTAAAATATTTGATAGTATAGCCGAACGGCTAAACCGTTAAAATAATATATTTAAATAGTCTAGCCGACCGGCTATACTATTTAACTATACAATTTTGTCATGTTATTTTAAAATACCACTTTAGCTAATTAGGATAGAGTTATTTCTTCAATTTTTTTTTTTTTTTTTTTATACTAGGGGAATGATAATTTAAATTCTTTCTTATACCTCTCATTCTAATGATTTCCAGCTATTAGTCCATTTGACAAGAATAAAAAATGGATTTTATTTATAATAAATAATGCGGGTTAAACCCATAAATACAACAACAAAAAATAGGGATCCACCAACATTTTGGGGATAAAAGAATCTTGAATTTCATAATGTAAAATTGCTTATGTAAGAATTTACTTTCTAAAATGTATCCATCGTAATTATAAACTAAACCCAATGACAACCTTTTTCTCATTGCACTTGACAACCCTGCTCTTTTGCCCTTGGGTGTATAGATCAAACTATATATAAAATTAAAAACCTACCCAGGGATGGCTAGTCCCGATATTTGAGATCGGAGCGATACCAATGTCTGAAATGGAGGTGATGCCTAGTCATGTTCAACATCCCATCTATGAGATCAGAGCGATACCGATATTTGAAATGGAAGTGATGTTGGTCATGATGAGTGTATTGAGTAACTTTTTGGGTTTATTTAGACACATCCATTGCATTTCATTTTCTTGAATTTGTGATCACATAACAAAATCAATAATGTTACGCCTTTATAACTTATTCCTTCTCATCTCATATGAAAAATAAAGATACAAAGCTCCCATTCCCATCCTTCCTTGCAATGACAAAAACTTTCACTACCGACTTATTCACCAAATAGATAATCTTGAAGTAAACTTTGAATACATACAATTATTCATAAATCACAATATAAACAAGTATCGTGTTTTTATACGAATATGATATTAGCGTAATGCAGGTTATTACTTATTCATTAAACAACATGTTTTACTTACTAAACAACAATGTAAGCAATGTATTAGGGAAGGAGGGAGGGAACTAATGGGAATGAATATAATTTTGTAATCCGCAGATCCAGACTTTACAACCGACAACTCAAGGGTGGTCCCTGCAGTCACACTCTGGCT